GTCATCCAGGTATCTACTTGGATAATCATCTCCCTCACACTCTGCTTATCATTGAGGTCTGCCCTATACCATTTCCCCAAGCTCTTCACCGGTCTCTCTAGGACCGTTGGGATGATGGTATCTTTGATCTTGAAGCGGAACCGGTCCTGGATGCGCCCCTTCTTCAATACCAGGCTTCTGGACTTTTCTGGTTTGAAATCCATCCTTGCCCAATCGGTGAGTTCAACCAGATCCTCCAAGATCCATCTCCCTTCAGGTACTGATTTTGCCGTGATGGTGAGGTCGTCCATAAATGCTCTTATAGGTATCTGTTGGATGCCACTCGCCAACACTGCGCCTCGACGCAACTTTTCTGCTGATTTAACGAGAAGGTTCATCGCTGCTGAAAACAAAATCACTGAGATTGTGCATCCAGTGACAATGCCCACCTCTAGCCTCTGCCATTCTGTGGTAAAGTCTCCGCAGGAGAAGCGCATGTTGAAGTTATCATAATAACGCTGCAAGAGCTTCTGGAATCGCTCTGGGACATGGTAGGTCTTCAACGTCAGATGCACCAGCTTGTGGGGTATCGTTCCAAATGCATTTGTTAAGTCCAGCCACAGGACTGCGAGGTCACCACGGTTCTTCTTTGCATCTTCGATAATCTTGGTGATCATACTGGTGTGCTCAAGACAGCCTGCCCCCCTGGAACTCCCCCTTTTTGGACAGATGTGTCCATGTACCCGTTGTCCACCATAAAGGTGGTCAGTCTCTTCGCCAAAATCCCAAGAAAAATCTTTCCTTCGACGTTAAGGAGTGAGATGGTACGGAATTGCTTGATCCCTATAGAGTTTTCTTCCTTAGGGATGAAGCATCCCTCAGCGACCAGCCAGCTATCAGCAAGGAAGTCCTTCCTCCATGCAACTCTTAGTAGCTTCCAAAGTCGTCTCTTGAGCCTTTCACAATACTTATACACCTTATATGGAATGCCATTCGGCCCTGGGGCTGATTTTGCTCTGGCCTTCCTTAGAAAGGTGTTCACCTCCTGCCAGCTCGGTTCCTCAGCTCTAAAGGGGGTAGCTGGTTCTGCTGGTTGTATGAGTTTCTCCATCTCCTCCAGGCTGTCCTCCCTTCTGGGGTCACTGTGGACCTGACGAAGGTGCTCCTCCACCTCCTCCTTTGTTGCTTTCAACTCCCCTGATCTTACGTCGCCCAGAAGTTTTGTCAGATACTTGAAGGGATTCTTGGTGAAATCTGTCCTCTCCTTCATTCGTCGCTTCCTGTCCCTACGGTGACATTCAGCTCTTCGCAAGATCTTAATGCGCTCCCTCAAGTTGTCACGGATTTCCTTGAGTGCTGGTCTCTCATCCCCTGCTGCTTCACGAAATGCCTTCCTCAGCCTCCGCAAATCCCCTCTAAGGATTGCTATTTCCTTCAAGCGTCTGCTTTCCTTTGGCTGGGTGTTTGTTTTAGCCTTCGGCTCTTTCTTTCCGAAGCGATCAGCGCCTATGCTCCAAATAATGGAAGCCATAGCCTTCAGCTTCTTGCCCACATCTCCTGCCAAGGCTGTTTCCAGCACCTCATCCACATCGTGATCAAACCTCTCCCACTCCTTCCTCGCCGCTGCAGCGGGCCAGTTCACTAATTCCTTTCGGGCCACTCCTACCCATATGTCCTGTCCAGGTCGTCTAATGTCCTGTGAACCCTCCATCTCTGTCTGGTGCTTTGTGTCCTCTGACACATCAGTGATGCCGTTCCTACTCCCATCTTCATCGTGTGCCTGGAGATTCGGGGAACTGTGGTTTGCCTCCTGCCCCGGCCTCTCCTCCGTCTCACCAGGTTTCCCTGTGCGTTGCACATTATGTTCCGGCTGCACGCACTTCATCTTTGACTGATGTATCTTCAGACCCCTCCCGTTTTTACATATCTTACCACATCTGCAGACCCGTGATACATCGTTTACCTGCTCCATAGTCGAAAGTCCATCGTGAGTGGTCATAACAAAGGTCTGTCCTGTGGGCCGATCATCCTCCCCCGCTCTCGCTCGACCCTGGGGGTATCTTATAATGTACCTTTCCATAGCGATTAGCAATGGGTCCCTCCTCGCGAAGGTTGTGCTTCGGCCTGCCAAACCTCCACACCCTAGCTTTGGTCTTTCCCAAATGTCAGCAGTCTTTCCTAGCTGTCACCGTTCTTCCTCGGTCGCCATCTTGTCTTTCCAAGTAGTCACTGGGTCAACCAGAAAAAGATATGCAAAAACGATGTGATCATCGCAACTGGCCCACCTTTACAGGTACTCTGCCCTGCCCCATCTGTGAGCCAGTGGCATCGCTCTCTCCTCTCCTTCCAAGCACCAACCTTCTCCCAGGGCCAGCTCAGGGCTACATCTCTCAACACTGCAAGAGTTAGGTGGTTACAGCCGGTCATCAGATGGGCACCCCCCTTCCTTGGTGTTTCGTCGATTTAAGCCCATAACACCTCGGGAGGGCTCGACAGCAGATCCAGCGTCCTGGATCTACCCCGCTGACCACCACCCAACTCTACGGTGTTTTTAGTCCTTCAACAGGTTTGCTCTGCCACCGCACCTCCCGCTGTATCCAGATCCAATTTGATGCTGCTTCCGCCTGTTCAGTGACACTGCCTATTAGCCGTTTCCTGGCCATCCCTTCAATCCCCAGCACTCCGAGTGCTCTCCAGAGTGACTGTCCCGCAAAACCTCTGCAGCCGACCTCTACTGGTAGATTCCAGGCCTTCCATCCTTTTTGCTGGCTCTCGAGGATAAGGCCTTGATATTTTTTGAGCTTGCGCTCATGCGCCTCCTCCATCCTATCTTCCCAGGGTACAGTTAACTCTATGAGTACCACCTGCTTGGTACCTCTAGACCACAGTACAATATCTGGTCTGAGGCTAGTGAGTGCTATCTCCTCCGGGAATTTGAGCTGCTTTTTCAGGTCTGCCCGCATCTCCCAGTCATTTGCTGAGGCCAGGACCCCTCTACTCCTCCGTACTGCTGCAGTGCTCTCTCCTGTCCGGACGAAATGGATAAAGTGGAGCCCATCAGGAGGCGGTTTACGATTCTTCCTTGCCTATATATATATTTTTTTTAATTTCTGCAAAAATATTCAGCATGTCAATGACATTTTTTCCTCAGGAAATGTGACTGAATCTGAGCTAGAGCTATGGCGATCTATTCCAAAAAATATTCATAGGGTTTATCTGGAAATTAAAAACTGGAAAAATCCAGGCTACTTAAGGCCCATAATTAATGTTATGTAAATTATGGACATAAAGGTAAGCTGAGACCATAATGACCAGTTTATAGCGAACTTTAATTCACCTGATATGCTCTAAAAACAGAAAAAAGACCACCACCTTTTCTTTTTGTTTTTGTTTTTGATATGCTGTTGTTGGGCTCTCTCTCAAGTGGACATAAATGTACAGCTCTTCTAAACTAGGTCAAAGAAAGTGGTCCTCTGCTGAATTGAAGTTTCTTCAAAGTTTTTATCCCAACTCCACACATTGGATCTAAATTGGGTCAAACTGTCAGCTTTATTTTGAAGTCTTCAATGATGTGTGAGAGCAAGGCTCAGTTCAAATCATGCTGCCATGCAAAATGACGAATGTAACGCTTGTCTTTATAAGATCAAATTTATTTCAGAATTTATCAGCCACAAATACGAAAATTCTAAGCCTATATTGCCAATATTCCTGTGAGGCTTGCGCAATAGTGAAAAGAAATGGTCTATATATATATATATATATAGATTTTTATTTAGAAAATAGATTTTTATTTATAAATAGATTTTTATCTAAATGCCCTTTACAATTACCTGATCTCAGTATTGTTAGTCAAAACTGAAAAGTAAAAAACAACAACATTTGATTAATCACATGCAATTGTCAATCATTTCTCTATCAAAATCCAAGTCTTACAAGTAGCTTACTCCTTGGAACAGTAGTAGCCTACACCTGTTTGGAAATTGCTGCGTTTTATTGGTTTATTCAAATTCAGATAATCATTACTTCCGATTGTAATTTTACTAACATTACATCTTTTTTTTTAATTATTATTATTATTGCTTAAACAAAACAATACAAGATACACTTTAGAGCCAGGGGAGCAATGACCATGCATTTACATAAAAAACAAAAAAACAAAAACAAAATAAAAATATCACAAAAAACAAACAAACAAGACCTTTGTGTCAATCAAAGATTTTGAAGATAGTACACAAATGTAGTCTTATTAGCTTTTGGATTAGGCAATGCAAGTTTATTTAAAAAGCACATTTCATACACAATGGTAATTCAAGTGCTTTACATAGAAGAAAGTAAAATAATCAAAAGAAATCAGAATAATTAAAACCGTTTTACACCATTACACCGTGTGCTTGCACGGTGAGTAAAATATCAAAATACGTGCAAAATATGGGTTATTGCCAGCATAGACAGTGGTTATTGCCATCTTATTAATCTTTACTGCCATCGTGTGGTGGAGTAAAACATATTAGATTTAGCAATGCACCTGTAGGCCTACTGCTTTTCAGGAAGGCTATATACTGACGTTTAAACCAATTGTCGACAGTAGGGTTAAAAAGCACTTTGCCAAGCTTATCTTGTTTATGTGTTTGTGCAACCAGTACTTCCTGCGGCTGAATAAAAATATGTCATCACCAGAATGAAGGGCTTGTGTTATAATTTATTAATTGTGTTTATTTTCCAAGGACAGCCTGAAGACGCGAATATTACGCTAATAGGGCAACACTGAATGTTTGACGTGACAAAACAAATGGATCTCTCCTTCCTTTGCTATTATCTCGCCAATTTGTGAAAGGTTGCGTTTCTATGGTCTTCTCAGTAATGTCAGTGTTTCATTTCTGTTTTCCAGAAAGAGCTGTACGGCTGCTGCTGTGTGTGTCACGCTTATTTATTATGAATGAATGTGGCCGAGATGGCTTCGTTCAATTCAGTCTTCGTTGTGTCTTCGTTTGATCATTTCAATAATATCTGTTTGGGTGTGATAAAGGTTTGGTTTACAAACTGGATTATCGTAGGCGTGAATTCTTCGAACAGCAGTTCCTGCGGAGGATGTTTTTGCGGCGTTAGGACCCTGGGGACAACTTCTCATTCTCACAAGGCACAATGCAATTTGCATGCGTTTCTTCTGCAAGGCAAACACGGCTGTACGAGTGAAACCCAAACCACCGGAAGATCGAGGAACAGACTTGCATATACTCCCCTGGTGTAGGATCACTATCGTGATGGGGAGCTTTCAATCTCTACCGGATAACCATCAATATCGAACCCTGTCACAGAAGACAGGCTGTGAGTATAAATATTACGAAGGGTTTAATGTCATTTATCCTATATTGTAATGTTTGACAAACGCAGCACCATTTACTCAGAAACAAGTGACAAATCAGAGATGTTTTCTTTACTTACACATAATCAACTGTTCAGGATTAATCTACTGCGTATCTGCTTATTGTAATAATAATAAAAAAAAAAACTTAAAAAAACGTAATATGGACTTGTGGTAATTAGCTAAAAGATTACAACACTGTTGCAAATTGTGCCTCTCGAGTGGTTAGCTATACTTAGTTGGCCTCTTTCCTACAGACCTAAAAGGAAACATAAATTAGGAATCAATAGCCTACAGTGTTTATCCTAAAAATGTGATGATTCACCATTTAGACATGTCGTTCCAAACCCATATGACAGGTGTTTTAGGTGTTTGGCAGAATGACAGCCTCAGTCAAAGCCTCACTCACTTTCATTTTGCTACATGTAAGTGAACAATGACTGGTCAGTCTAACATCACGTAACATCAGTAACATTCTGTACTACAGAAGAAATAAAGTCATAAGGGTTTGGAGCAACATGACGGTGAGTAAACAATGACATAATTTTGTATTTTTGGTTGACCGATCCTTTTCAAGGTTTTTTCATGACTCGTGATCATTCATAATTCAGTTACAAATGTCACTGTGAGGAATTTAAGATTTAGTTTTAGCAGTTGTGTTTCACTTCACACATAGTGCATTGTGCCCATTGTGCCATAGTGAGTCATCTGTTTGATGAGCACCTCCATTCTTTTCATTTTCTCTCAGTTTCACTGGAGCAGATCGGAATCCTCCACAATCGTTTTAAGCAGCTCAGTCAGAACGAGGAAACATTACGGTAATCTACAAGTGTTTTGTTTCGGAGATGATTCTGCAGAATGTTTCCAGCAACAAAGAATGACTTTCAAGAATCAAATCAAACCAGTTTGCTGGTATACTTACTGTACTAGTAGAAAAAATGCACGCAGCTCTAGATTACATAGGCTGATCTCAAATTGCTTGCAAACACATCATTCTCTGTAGGGCACAGCTGATTGGTTCCTTCTGTATCAGTAGCTCACTGCTCAACCATCAAATACTTAGTTAGCATTTGCTGTAGCAGTTGCAGGGTGCTTTCAGAAACCCGTACCTTCCCAGATCCACCCGTATAGTTCTACATTGTAGGTTACAGCAGTAGCAGTGTAGCAGGTCTATTCCGCCAAGGCCAAACATATCGACATGCAGGTCATATCCATCACCATGCCAAACACACTGAGAGTTGTCATGACAAAACTAGTGTTATGCTTGATTAATAGGTCTGCTTGGGTGGTTTAGTTTGGCTAGACAGCAAACCATAATTCTGGCCTTTTATTTGTCAGGTTTAATTGTTTTGTGTTCTCATTTAAAGGAGAGATGACTTTAAAACAATCCAAGATTTGGAAAGCAACCCAATTCGGTCCCAGATTGTAGAGGCTTTCTTTGATAAAAGGTTTGTAATTGTTTAAATACTGTGTATATGTTTGATATTTGTTGTGACAATAGTTATGTGAGGCTTGATATTACCCCCTACAGCTTCACAAATGTGATATTACATTTGAATACTATTGAAACTACACCTTTCTTTCATTCTTTCTACCTTCAGTCGAAAATAAATTAAGGTTTTTGATGAAAACATTCAAGGATTTTTCTCCAAATAATGCAATTTAAAATGCTGGAACGTTTTCATCAAAAACCTTAATTTCTTTTCAACTGAAGAAAGAATGACATGGATATCTTGAATGACATGGGGGTGTGTAAATTATCAGAAAAAGTTTTTTTTTAAAGTGAACTACTCCTTTAAGTTTTTTTTTATTTATTTTTGATTATATCTCTAATTAAAATAGACCACATTCTGAACACATTCTTAAATTCATTTAGGAAACAAATATTTAAAGTAAAAAACAATTTACAAGCTTTGAGATTGTGTTAGAATAATGTCTTCTATTCTTTCCAAGTCGCCTCAATCAAAAATTCATCTGACAACCCCAAACCTGAAGGTTAATAGTAAAGTTTAACAATCAGGGCTCAACAAAGCTGAAAGGGAGCAATAAAATGGTACTATACTTGCTTGTTCTACACAGGAATTTCCAGAAAGATGATGTGGGATCCGTGCAAGAAATTGGTTTTGAGGAATTCCTTACCGTCATGTCGTACTTCAGAGCACCGACCCATCATATCACAGAGGAGCAGAGAGAAGAAATGAGGAGAACCAAACTGCGCTGTAAGAACATGCAGAAATAATACTCTTGAATTATATAAAAATACTTGAAGATGAGGGACCAGTGAACTGAGCCATGAATTCAGAATACTAGTGAAACAATACTGTCTCTTTCTTGATACTGTAGTTCTATTCAACATGCATGACACAGACAATGATGGAACAATAACACTGGAGGAATACAGACATGTAAGAAATTACTGTAATTACTGTAATCCAATCCATCTGAGTGAAGCATTTGCTGTGTGTGTGTAGTTCATGATTATCTTCAAAGATTATCAGCAGTGTTGTGGTCTCTCTATAGGTAGTCGAGGAGTTGTTATCCCGTAGTGGAGCTCTTGGAAGGGAGACAGCTAAGGGCATTGCAGATGCTGCAATGCTGGAAGTTGCCAGTATCTCAGTAGGTCCCATGGTATGTTATCTAGAGGCCGGATCAACAACAGTGTATGGAGTATATCAGATAACATCAATATTATATAAATGCAAGTTGTAACCTGAGAATTTGTAAGAATTTGTTCCTACTTGTTCTGTGATGGTGCTGTTGGTTTCACTATTCGCACTGTTTGTTCACTCACTCACTCACTCACTCACTCACACCCACCCACCCACCCTGAGTCACTCACACACCCTCAGTCACTCAGTCATTCACTCACTCACCCACACTCATTCACCCACCCACCCTAACTGACTCAGCTGGCAAAAAACGCTAGACACTCTGCTGAAAACGCCCTAGCTGTGGGCGCTTGAGAGCGTTTTGACAGTGCAGCGTTTTTTTTTCCATTGAAACATTTCGTTGCTGTGATACAGAATATCCGCAGCACAGTTTACAGTTTTAGTTGATGTCGTTGTACAGAAAGAATGTTGTGACAGTTGGTCGGTGTGGTATTAGTCCCGCTCCTCCTCCACTGTGATTGGACGGCTGGGTAAAAAGTGACTCACTCAGTCGCTCACTCACCCACCCACCCACCCTCAGTCACTCACTCAATCACTCAATCACTCACTCACTCACTCACTCACTCACTCACTCACTCACTCACCACACCCACCCACCCACCCACCCTCCCTCAGTCACTCACTCACCAAAAGTCACTCACCCACCCTCAGTCACTCACTCACTCACCCACCCTCAGTCACTCACTCACCAAAAGTCACTCACCCACCCTCACTCACTCACTCACTCACTCACTCACTCACTCACCCACCCTCAGTCACTCACTCACCAAAAGTCACTCACCCACCCTCAGTCACTCACTCACTCACCAACCCTCACTCACTCACTCACTCACTCACTCACTCACTCACTCACTCACTCACCACTCAGTCACTCACTCACTCACTCACCCACTCACACTCACTCACTCACTCACCCACCCTCAGTCACTCACTCACCAAAAGTCACTCACCCACCCTCACTCACTCACTCACTCACCACACCCTCAGTCACTCACTCACCAAAAGTCACTCACCCACCCTCAGTCACTCACTCACTCACTCACCCACCCTCAGTCACTCACTCACCAAAAGTCACTCACCCACCCTCACTCACTCACTCACTCACTCACTCCACCCTCAGTCACTCACTCACCAAAAGTCACTCACCCACCCTCACTCACTCACCCACCCACCCACCCTCACTCACTCACTCACTCAAGTCACCCACCCACCCTCACTCACTCACTCACCCACGCACCCACCCTCAGTCACTCACTCACCAAAAGTCACTCACCCACCCTCAGTCACTCACTCACTCACCCACCCTCAGTCACTCACTCACCAAAAGTCACTCACCCACCCTCACTCACTCACTCACTCACTCACTCACTCACTCACTCACTCACCCACCCTCAGTCACTCACTCACCAAAAGTCACTCACCCACCCTCAGTCACTCACTCACTCACCCACCCTCAGTCACTCACTCACCACCACTCACTCACTCACTCACTCACTCACTCACTCACTCACTCACCCACCCTCAGTCACTCACTCACCAAAAGTCACTCACCCACCCTCAGTCACTCACTCACTCACTCACCCACCCTCAGTCACTCACTCACCAAAAGTCACTCACCCACCCTCAGTCACTCACTCACTCACTCACTCACTCACTCACTCACTCACCAGTCACTCACTCACCAAACTCACTCACTCACCCTCACTCACTCACTCACTCACTCACCCACCCTCAGTCACTCACTCACCAAAAGTCACTCACCCACCCTCAGTCACTCACTCACTCACTCACTCACCCACCCTCAGTCACTCACTCACCAAAAGTCACTCACCCACCCTCACTCACTCACTCACCCACCCACCCACCCTCACTCACTCACTCACTCACCCACCCACCTTCACTCACTCACCCACCCTCACTCACTCACTCACTCACCCACTCACCCACCCACCCACCCTCGGTCACTCACTCAACCCCTCAGTCACTCACCCACCCACCCACCCTCAGTCACTCACTCACCTACCCACCTACCCATCCTCACTCACTCACCCACCCACCCTCAGTCACTCACTCAATTCCGATAGCATGTGAAGGCAGCCCCTAGCTCAATTCTGGGCACAAAATATAGTGAGAACATTTCATAGACACAACTAGACCCTTAACCCTCACAAAACCTGTGCAAAACACTAGATTTAAATACAAGTATGATTTGGCCAATTTATAAGCCTTAACATAAAATTTACATAAAAATTACCATATAAGTGAGGTCATTTGGCCCTCACAGGCATAGTTAAACACACATAACTTGCACACAAAATCTCTTGCTAATCTCTCTGTTCTTTTTGTGTTTTTACCAGGCACCTGATGAGTTCTTTGAAGGAATAACATTTGAGCAGTTTTTGAAGGTTTGTAAATTTATGTATTTTGTTTATGCACAACCAGATGGTCTAATTTACACATTATCTTTTAAGTAAATACACTACTTTGTATTTGCATTAAACATCATCACACACAATGCGTGTAAAGACATTGTATGGTCTGAACTCATAAGACTTGCCTTTTATAACCAGCCTTCGTTCTTTTTTTTCCTGGTTTCCTGCTCAACAGATTCTTAAAGGAGTTGAAATTGAGACGACAATGCACATTCGCTTCTTAAACATGGACACAACTGTATTGTGCAAGTAACATTCTTTCTAAATACTGCTGGTTAAATGTATACTTTCTAGTAAAGTAAGCACTTTATTAGATGAGGTCAGTTTGGAATAGTTTGGATAAATCTCTACTGCTATGAACTATTTATAGGAAGCTCAGAGTGTGGATTTGACAAAAGTTAAAAAGCAATAAGAAGGAAAGTATCTTAAAATCTGAAACTCCTAGCTTTGCATGCACATATTACATAATTATAGTCCAATACAATTAATACTATGCAGGCATTTATTTATTTATTTATTTGACTTGTATACACCCTCCTATTTAAAAAAAAAATGCAATGTTGAATGCTTATAACCAAATGCAATTCAGTTTTAATACTGAATAGAACATTCGTATTATTAACACCGATATAACAAAAGCAAAATTTTGTGTGCTCTTTTTATGTGTGATCTGCATAAATACTAGTAAAATAAAACTACTTGAATCTATAATCTGAAATAAAGAACTGCAGTTACTCTTATCGACCAGCAGATGCTGCTAATGTAACAGCTTTGTTTGTGTCAGTGGATATAAATACTCAGGTTTATGGCAGAAACTGTTTGTGTCTAATAATAAGCATGTTTCAGCCTGTCCTTGCAAGGGCAACTGGAAGTTTATCAACAAAATTTCATTATAAATTATATATTAAATATATAATTATTCAAAAACAAATAATGTCGTAGTGGCATTGATGATCAGTAACTGCTAGTGTACACCACAGACCTTTAATGAATATTATCAGCCACGTACTGTATATTTCAGTAACAACAAACTTTGAGAGATACAGCTCAAGTTGTGCTCTGTTAGCAGTTATAAATTGTGCAGCATTATGCAAATGTAGTTTTGTTTTGCATAAAGCGTTTTTGTATTTGCAAAAATGAAACTAGAATTTACTCTGTGATAGTAGTCAGTAATCAGTCAAAAAATGTCTCAGAATGAAGAAATTAATGTTTCTTCTGTTAACCTTACAACGGAAAAAACCTTACAACTCTTCATGCAATTACATTGTGTATTGAATCTGCAACATTTACCACAATAAAACGGCATCTTGCAACACTTTTTGTAATGCACTGTTTTTTCCCCCACTGAAACAATTCAAAGCATTTCTCAGATCGCTTCAGTATTTGACAGTAAAAGGGCGATGATCACTTTCATATTTCGTGTGAAAGTGTGTCAAGTGAGGTTGCCAACACAAGACAAAAAAAAGTTCTCACATGAGCACCTGTTTTGATTGTAAATTATTTGATTAGGGGGTCTTCCCCACCACACGCTGTCTGTGAAAGACTCTGTGACCCACTACCCTTTTTTTTTCTTGTTTCCATGAATATGCCACTCCCTTTGTTAGTAAGTGTGGCACTGTTACAAAAAAACCCATCTGTGTTTCTACAGAAATCAACTTTTTTAGACATCAGGAAGTTTGATGCAATGTTAATGTCAACGATCACGGTGGCTGTTTGAACTGTTTTGTATGTACAAAATGCAGCTCTGGTTTTGCACAACTTCAGGACAGAAGTTTCCAGGACCAGCTGCTAGAGATCATTATGCACAATGTCAAGTTGTTCATTAGAAAAGGGAATACTGTACATACAACCTTTATTAACTAGAGGAAAATGCTCTCTGGATAATCTTGCAGTATGATGATAGAGTTTGGTGGATCCCCAGATAATTTGGCCTGCATAAACCTGTTTTCCATTAAAAAGAGATGGGGAATTTCATTTTTATTTCTTTTTTGAAAACTTGCATTTCTCATTTTCAAGGAGCATTTCACCCATTTCAACATTAATCTGTATTGAAAGTGAATCATATATGTGGTCAAAATGAAAAAGAATTTTTGAATTTGGTGCCCTCTTGACCGAGAATAGACGGAAAAATAACTGAAGGGTGCATTTGTATGTAAGACAACAACTCCCATGATGCACCACATTGCACAGCTCCGCAAGCCATAGACATAATATATACATAGACACCCTATTGGCCGCTGGAGCGTACGTCAACGGCGCCGCCATATTGGGGAGATCAACTTTCCCATACCTCTCATACCGGGAATTGAGAAAAATGTCTGTTTTGTGCGCTGCTTGGGTCTGTAAAAATCGCCACACAACTGAAAACAGCTTTCGAGGAAGTACCTTTCACAAGCAAGACTGAACGTTTGTTTTTGGTTGTATTTGGTCATGATTTAATTAGTAAGTAACGTTTAGAGATTAAATACTACTGTTATTGTGTCACGCAATGTAGTTTTAATAGTTTTTCAGTCGACAATGTAGTTGTTTAAAGCTCAAATATGTGAGCCTATTTAAAAATTTGATCTGAAGTTTTCGGAGTTGCTGCGCCCCCGCCCAGCGCTCGTCTCCCCCGCCTGGAACAGCCGTACCACGGCCAGTGCTTCTCGGATGTCTCTAGTCTAGAGGTTAAACATGAGATATAATTCGTATAATTTGTGTTTATCTTTGGTCTCATTAATCTATAAATGGTTCCCTGGTAAATAGTTTTGGCTGAAGGCAAAGTAAAGTTTCATAACTTTATATTTAGGCTATTTTAACATTGTATGTTTGACTGAAGCTACTTCTGTTATAATGGCTAGCCTATTACTGATCAATAAAACTGAAATTTAGCACAAAGAGCTAAATATTAAATATATTTTTTGTGTGTGTTTATTCTGTAGTTGAAATGTCTTATTCTATAGAATTATTAATAAACTATTATCAATATTTTTACATTCATTTTTATTTGCTGTATACTATTTGTTTATTTTATTGACTAAACTATTTAATAGTACTTTTCACGTTATGTTATAATTACTATTTGCATTGCACTGCATGCCCAGTTGTACCACAACATATATGTATTATCATAAATGATCCATCAGTTATCAATGTTATTGCTAAAATCTGGTCAATCACATAAAATGCTTTTTCCGCAATGAGCAAACTTAAATATCTCAGTATGGGGATCTTCACCATTCTTATCGAAGAATGTTTTTATCCAGAAAAACGCAGCTCACCCGTTTACTTGCATTTAATTACAATGCAGTCTTGACCTCCGCAAAATGGCGGACCCGTTAACGTATCGCAGCAACGTTCCAAAGCGGCCAATAGGGCGTCTATGTATATATTATGTCTATGCCGCAAGCTACACCCACTAATCCAGAACAGCGCAAACAGAGAAATCACTCTTCCGTCTACAAGGCTAACGTTAGCTGCCACCAGAGTTTCGCACTGGTCTTGCATCTCTCACAGAGGAGAGGAAGCATAAAAGGAGCAGCGACGACATGGCCGATCGAGAGAGGAACAGGCCTGATTTTATGTTCTCTTTCTGTTGTGTGTGGCCAGAAGTTGTCAATGAGGGGCTGCTGGCTTGTACTTTTGTTTTGTATTTGTTCATTGTACTATTAAAATGTTTAAAAGTTCGCCGGTTCCCGCCTCCTCCTTCCCACAACAACAAACCCCGTTAACGTTACATTGGAAAACTCATTAGTGAATTACTCCTCGTTTGTATTTCTTCCTATATGGTGAATTACTGCATGATGCCGGGATGTTCAGTCAGGCGAAACTAGGATGGTTCACATCACAACACAAACGTCCGTGTGCTCGTCTGATTCAGAGATTTCATCCAGGAGAAATTGCAATCGTTGAAATTCTCTGCAGCAGACGGACTCTATCTGTGTCCGTAGTTCACAGCGAGAGCACAGGCACCAGCAGTCCGTCTCAGCTCGAGCCAGTCCGGGCTCCCCGTCCGCGACAGGCAGCCGCCTCCTGTTCCTCCATCAGCCTCAGCCTGATGGCTCGTAAAGATAGCCACGAACAACGGATTCGAGTGGCAGAATTTCATAATCCTCTTCTTCCATATCATGTTTAGTTTCTTCCGTCATTGTCATAACTTCCTACCTCCACAGCGCTTGTTAGCTTAGCTTCCAAACAAGATGGTGGATATTGATTCAGTTTCTGGAAGTGAAGTCCCACCCACTGATCTGTAATAGGCCTGTAGCTTGAGTGGGTCCCACACCCTGGAATAATGTTTGTAGTTCCTACACTTTTCAATGAAATGTGACTTCCTGCTTATTATGACGCAAAATGACGATTTTTACGTCATAATAAGCAGGAAGTAAAACATTCCCATCTCAGGGGAAAATAAGGGAATAAACCATTCAAAAATATGACTGGATTTCTAATGATACAAAGCTTAATGCAAATGGGTGAAGTGTCCCTTTAAATACCAGTTACAGGGGTTAAAGCGCTAAACATACTTTTTTAGGCATTCTTCATCACAAATGCACTCCTACCTTGCCAAATCAGAAATTTTTAGCCATTTTACCATCTGGCCGTTTCATGGTGGATCTATGGTAGAATTACTGCATGAATATCATGACCCTGCAGGCAGCATACCATACCATAACACTTTTTGCATCGCTAACTTTCTGATGTAGTATTGTGTTGGGAAGGGCCTCCCTTGATTCAGCATGATTATGCCTGTAAATGTTTCATTGAGATGCAAAATGTAAAAAAGCATTTTGCTTTTTCTAGTTGCAATATTAACAGATAATATTTTATAATATAATATATTAAGACATTTAACAAAATGCTGATAAAGCTCCCCTCCCTGTTTTTTCCTTAAAAAAACATTGCCACGCAGAACTTGACCTATAATGAATCTTCCTACTTCCATTTCCACAAAAGCGTGTGACTAAGGCAAAGTGCCTGAAATGGCAACATTTGTACACAGTGTAAGGACAAGAACAGACGTTTCCTTTAGTTTATTTTGAAGATAGGAATGTAAAGTGATCTTAGTTTTCATATAAATAAGTATCAAAATAATTACATACATTCATAATTTAAAACTGATAACTATAGAAAGCATTCAGAGCTGTGCTGAGTGAAATATACAAACCAAAGGATGTAAACTGTCAAACTATCAATCTCAATGGCTTGAGATTCACTCACATGGACAAAAACAGACTTATACCTTGTGACAGGGGAGACAGCTAGTCAGTTTTTTCCCCTTTCTGATGTGGTGAAATGAATGCGTCACTATGGGCTGATATCAGTCTCTTGCACTTCCTGACTTCTAAAATGGTCTCAACTCAAAACTGTCTCAAAAAGTACATATAACATTTACAAGGTTAGGTTATTCAGGTTATTTAGCACAGACCACAAAAGCCAATATGGCTAACGTGTGACATCACACTTTATCACTGCAAATTTCTTTATAATCAAAACAATTGTCTCTGACAACATGTATGACCTCATAGAATGCTGTTAAGAAATCAACAGTAAGTTCTAAGAATTGTTTTGTGCCTTCTTTCCTGAATGACAAAATGCTCCACATCCAGCCATATTGTATACAGTTCTGATGACAGCTGATGCTTCAAATGAATCAAGTGCTTGTTTTTTTTTTTTTGTGTGTGTGTTTTTTTAACTGTCAAATAATAAATGAACTATGGCAGTCCATGACATCCAAATACGTTTATCCATTCTAGTCCAAATGGAAGTTTAAAAAAAACTTTTTTGTCTACATATATGGATAAAGTATGCAGGGCAGAAATAAATTAAATTAATAAATATTACATAAAACAAATACTCCACAGGACATATTTTCAACATAGATTAACCAAAATAAATATTAATATTAAACCATCGACATTGTTTTACATCTCAGAACAATTTTGTTTGTCCCTTTTCTGCACATTTTCCTCCTAAGAGACTTTTGTTCTTGAACTGCTTTGCTAAGGAGCTCCTGAAGCCGAGACAGGACAGTGCATCCATAGGCCTTCTGCTGGAAAATATTTTGTGCAGGGGGAATTCCCGTTGGCCTTTCAGCTGGCTCAGAAATAAGTATATTTGGTTGGAGGATTTGTAAGAGACAGTTCACTGTCAGAGCAGTGTGGTGAACATGTGTCATTATCATATTAAGCCCCTCTGCCACAGGGTTGGTTGGAGGATTGAAGTCTCTCTGCTGCTCCATAACTGTCTTCATGTGAGGCGGAAACTCTTTTAGGCGGGTGTAAACACTCAAGATGCGCTCCGATATAGTCTGGCCGGAGATTGTTGATTCTGGAACATTGTCCATTTGCATATCACAGATCAGGTCTGTAGAGTCTCCTTGACTGGCTTTCTGAATGAGAGAAGAGAAGTCTATAAGAACTAGTTGTACAAAAGTTTTTTTTTTCTTGTATATTTTTACAATCTATTTTATCCTTACAAATTTATCCTTTATATTAAATTCCAATATTTTCTTGGGCAATGCTCTTGGCTAATCCAGTGAACAGAATTAAGGATATTATCCAAGACCCCACTTTCCACAACATATTTAATAACCCCATGACTTGATTTACAGGATAAGAATGATTAAAATTGTTTTTAAAAATGTTTTTTTTTTTACTCAGAATTTCTAAATAGAAATAAAATATTTTAAAGCTTGGTGTGAGAATAAAATAATACATTTATTATAAAAATGTCCTCGGAGTTATAAGATATTATTCATTTCCATTACTTTTTCACATCTAGAAATCACACTTTTAAAAGAAGGCTTTTACCTATGTTTTTCACAAAAACCTTTCAGGGGGTGAATTAAATTGAGAAATATCTTCATATTTTCTTTGTTTGTCTTATTTAGGCCACAGCCCCTTAGACAGAGTGGCACTTTATTTATTTATTTATTTATTTAAAAACCCACTCTGTGACAGCTAGGCCCATTCAGTGTCTTTTGCTATTTTGAATATGACCATGAATAATTCTTTTGATAGACTACTTTACACACTTTATGCCAAATATATACTGTCGAATGGCTAAATTTACACTTCCCACATACCCACAGACTCCCACTCACTCTCAAAACTAACCAGTTTTATCAATGAAAGGAATCACCTCATTGGATGTGGAAACCACCCAAGCAACTGCTGACCATATTAGGCACGTATTGTCAGAGCATCTCCTATTTCTTACACCAATCACAACCCGAACTAGGATTATTAATGTAAACGTCATTTGCAATGTTAATTATTGTAAGAAAGAGAGTACTTACATATGTTTCTAAAAGCATTGCCGTCTTTTTGCTGGTTAACCTAGTGAGCTTGATACTACTGTGAAGAAGCCGGCTGCTGTTTTCATTCTTGCATGACATAGTTGGTTGCACTAACTGGACAGCAATGAAGATGAGGAGAGGGAGGATTATTCCTTAAAAAAAATGTAATTAAAGGCATGTTAAACAAAGAAACTAAGCTCAAGTCAAAACAAATTCACATTTTAATGGTGCACACTTTGACAAAAAAAAAAATGTCTTTAGATTCACTGCAGTCAGAATGACCAGATGATGATCTTATGACTGCACATATATAGTCAGTACATGTAAATCTATCAAATGCAACACACATTTCAACAAATATATGGATTTTGTTTATGTGTATTGTAATTGGGTTATTAATTGAAGCACAGCATTAAAAATATATTCCATATCTGACTGTATGACTGTAAGCGTATTGTTAAGTGTGCAGGGTGGCAGTAATACTTACTGGATTTTGCTTGTGATCTCTGAGATAGGCAGACCATGTTCCTAACATGACAATTCATTCTCCTTTCACAGACAAAGTTTCAAACTGGTCATGATCATAACTCTGAAAAAGTTTTTAAAGACTGAAACCACACATTTGTCATTGGAAGGAAATGACGCAGCCAGCTTTCTGAGGCAACAAGAGTTCCCAGAATTTTTTTTTTCTTTTTGCGTCTTCATTATCACATGTACTATGTGTAATGCTCCCTCCTTCTTTAGCTGTCACCCAGTTTTTGTGAAGATGCATCTCCTTATGTGATGCAGAGTCTGGATAGGTTGACACAACCATCATTACGTCAAATGAGCTTGTAAGTAAAAATGTAATTTTAAAATGTAAAATGTTTCCTCATAAATCTTAAAAAAAGATTTTGATGTTGCACAATGCCACGCAACAACATCTCTGAGTTCATTTTATGATCTGCTTTGAGATTTATTTTTTATGCAAATATACTCTTGCATTTTGAGATCACACTTTTTGGACAGTTTTACATATCATCAGTCGAAAACAATGCTCTAAGTTTGACAATGCCATGCTGAAAGCATGCAGCAAAAACGAGAAAAATAACCACAGTCCAGCACAGCGCTCTTCCACCCTTGCTTTGAACTTTGTCCGTTGTTGGTTCAACAGGAAGTGGTCTTGACACCTTTAGATCTTTTGACGCCAAGTTTGGAATTTCAGCCACCTATCAACTTCAGACAAGGAAGGAAGATGACGAAAGCACTTTGCTGTGCTTTGATTTGCCTTCGCTTTTATTCCACTAATGTGTGATGCAATTGCGCATTTATTGCATGCAGAATGCCTTATGTGGACAGAAAATCACATCTGATGTTTTCTGAGCTAAGCTTTATTTAATACCCCTTATGACTACAAGGGAAATCCCAGAGCCAAAAGTTTAGAACTTGCACAAACATCCTATAGTCCTCCAATTAAAGTCTGATCTCACAGCCACTATGCAAAAAAAAAAAAAAAAAAAAAAAAAAAAACATTTATATGCTTATAGACAAATCCATGTAATTTCTTTGGTAAGAAGTCTGCCTGTTCAAGCATAAGTGTGGCACTGATGTGGTAAGTTGTGTCAGTGTCACAGGGGAAATCAGTGTCTTCTCAGCAAAACACAGGTAATAGTTCAGCACCTGGTACTTTCCACAAATCTTACCAAAAATCATACACAATTAGGTATGGTGCGGAAGGAATGAGGATGGAAGTGTTGTTTGCTGACTATGGTGACTTTCTCCTGTATATGTTACTGATTTAACATCCTGGGTTTTAGATGTGCATGGGTGTGTGTCAGCCCGGTCTCAGCATGGGGGCACCTTCAGCCCCTTCAAATGTTTATCTGCTTCAGTCAACTCTGAAATGTTTGTAACTCAGTCACTGGAATTGTGCTAGTGTTAATTCAGCAAAATTCATGCTTTTGAGTGTCAGACAGGTCTGCATTTTATATGTGGGGCAAAAATATCAAAGACAATTTCGCTTAACCTCTAAACCACACAGGAAATGGTTTACTTGAGAGCCTAAGGAAATCCCCCAGTCTTTTTTACGTATTTCTCATAATTACCTATAGGCTAAACTCACCTCAAAATGTTTTACGTAGAATTTGACACTGGTTGAGAATAATGATAATTGCAACACATAGCTCTCCTATAATTCAGTGGTGAATCTTTATATTGTGTAAGAACTCATAAACATGTATAACAAACTGTTGACATGTTAATGAATAAGGTGTTTAATAGTGCACGCAAATGGTTTAATGTTTTTTTTAGGTTGTTCATATTGTGTAGCCTATTGATGCTGGAGGCGTTCTGCTGTGACGCTATGATGACGCACCTGTGTTCGGCAATTTCCTCAAATGCAGCAGGTCATTGTTTTTGGTTTAATTTCCTTATTTATTACATTTTATATTATTATGATTAATTATTTGATCGATTGTGTGAAACGGGGGACACGTAGCCGTATACTAACATGACACTCATTGTAAGTTTGTAAACTATATTTTAATCACATTTCTCAAAAGCCCTAAGCTATTGATTCTTTACACGTACAACTTTTAATTAGCAAACAAATCAAAAACAAACACAATAATAAACAAACACTGACTGCACCTTTAAGTAGCCTATGCAGCAGAGTTAGAAACGATAAAAGTTTAAGACGCATGCACGCGCGCGCACACTCTTTCCGCTGATTGCCCATGGTAGGCATTGCGTAACCGTGCGTAACTCACTCTATCCCACCGGATCTGTATGCTTCCTCCTCCTCCTCCTCCTCCTCCTCCTCCTCCTCCTCCTCTTTCATCTCAGGAAGTGCAGCCGCTAGTCTGAAGAGAGGCTACGGACTCCCGCTCTCGCCGAACAGAGCGACTAGCGCGCCATCCATCGCGATGCTGTGCCTTTTGCAGGCACCTGTGAACGACATACGCCAGTAACAGATGAAGGGTGAAGAGGATGCGCTGGAAGCAGCAGGCTGTTTGCGGGCAGCAGGGAGACGCAGCGGCATCATCCTCAGCATCAGCAGCAGGGCGCTCGGTTAGCGCCCACCCCCACTCACTTCGTCTTTTCCTCCCCCCCTGCAGAAGCATGCTTGCGTGAGGGATGAGGCTGGAGACAGGGACATCAGGCCAGAGCTGCGGCCTTCTTCTTTTCACAAGAGCCGGGCTCGCCATCATCGCAGCAGCAGCAGCAGCATCCGCCAACGCTTTGCCATCATCACACCAGCATATTTGGTAGGCAGCCTATCTCTCCTCTTCTGCTCGCCGTTTTTGCATAAGAAATGCAGGCCTGCCATGGTCATCCACTCAACCCCACATCAGTAACCATGGCAACCACATCCTGTTAATAAGCGCTTTTTCACACCCCCCCCCCCCCCCCATGTCTTTCTGTCTATGGAGCGCAGGCTTATTTTCCGTCTTTTTTTGTAAAGATATTAATTTTGATATGATTTAGAGTTCTTTTCTGGAGCTGTACATTATGTACAGTCACCCCCCCATTTGCAGAATGCAAACTAAGTCAAAGGTTTTATTTATAGTATATACAGAGAGAGAGGTTAGTAGGCTACATGATCATTAAAAGAACATAATTATTTGCTTTCATATTGCCATTTTGATTCAAATAGTGACACTATTTGAATGATTATATTTTACAGACACAGTGTGTTCAACCCATCAAGATTAATCTGATTAGCTCCAAAATTATATGAACGTAAATACTTATTTGACATGAGCTGTGTAACATGCATTTAATCATTTTATTTTATAGATATTTTTTGTATGCAAGCTGGTTTTATGATCTCTAATCAAATGACAAACTACATGTTATATTTTTACAGTGAAAACTAAAGATGATTTAAAATGAACTAATTAATAATGTGAATTAGTAAAACACTAAAAAGTGAAATCACTATATATTTACTTTTTCTTATGGATACATATTCATTTGAACTTAAAATCCTGTAACTGATAAACATTGTAGTATACACATTATGCATCCACTTTTCATGTATTCAGTAGCTCCTGTTGCCCAAAATTTATATATGGACATTTCAGATTTTCACGTTTCACTCTATAACATTATGCTAGTAAAAAAAAAAAAAAAAAAAAAAAAATGTTAAAGGAAAATTTAAACAATTCATATAATTGCACACAGTGGCTCTGATGGAGCAAATAAACACAGCATTAAACAAAATGATGCATGCTCTCATTTTTATTGGTTATATAATCATTTACATATATAAGGTTTCATATTTTTTCAATTTAGAAAATTCTGAATTAATCATAATGTGACAGAAATGACTCGAATGTCACTTTACAGAATTGGCCATTGTGGAGATGCAATTAAATAGTAACTTTAATAGGAACAATTACATTTTTATCTTAAATTAATATCTTACATCATGTGATTTAAAAGGTGCAAAGAGAAAATAATCTTGTTTGGCTTACGTGACCTTTGACCCCCAACACACTGTGTTTGCAGGTCAGTGAGCAGATCCAGGAGCATGAGCAGGAAGCTGTGCGGCGTGAGCAGATGTCAGGGTATAAGCGCATGCGGCGGCAGCACCAGAAGCAGCTGATCGCCCTGGAGAACAGGCTAAAGGCTGAGATGGATGAGCACAAGCTCCGGCTGCAGAAGGAAGTGGAGACCCAGGCCAATAACACTTACATTGAACTGGAGCGGCTGGCCAAGAAGCAAGCTGCTCAGCTGGACAAGGAGGTGCTTGCTCATACTGTACTTTACACATAGTGGAGAGGGTTATGCAAAGTTTACAAGATAGCAATTTTTTGTGTAAGTTGCTTCTGTGAACATGCAGTGGGGTCCAAAAGTTGAAGACCACAGTAAACACAGTAAACTGATAAATTTGGAATAGACAAAAAATCTCATTTGAACCTGTAAAATAAATAGGAATTTTTAGAATTATGAAAAATGTAAAACAAATAAAGGTTATGAATTAAAATGAATTGGAAATATTTTAGTTTTTCAGTATTATCAAATAAGCACATTTGTGACACTGATCACTTGAACTCCTTTGTACAGGTGATCAGATGTTCTTTAAATCTCTTTGGATCATCTCAAATCAACAAACTTGTGGATTTCAAGCAGCTCGAGGCTGCTATGATTAAAACAAAAGGTGAAAATACCATGCAGTTCAAAATTCTTTTTTTTTTTTTGTAATCAAAATAAACTGTATTAAATTGTAATGCGAAAGGATTTTCACCAGTGGTCTCAGACTTTTGTATGCCGCTTTATGTGGATTACAAGAATTATTTGAAATAGATTTTGACTTAATTCAGTATGTTTATTCAATATAGCAAATCACCATGATGACAAAATATTGTCAGTTTACTAATGCACAGCTGACCACAGGAAGCTTTTTGTGATACTTATCCTCCCTTGGCCCTAGGTGATTCATTTGTAAATGATTAATGTTGCAAAACCAGATGTTTTTTTTTTTCATTTTGTCTCTCAAAAGACGAAGGCCTCGGCAGCTGAGGAGAAGAGAATCCAGCAACAGATCTTGGTCCAGCAGAAGAAGGAACTGACCACCTTCTTGGACACACAGAAAAAGCAGTACAGACTATGCAGAGAAAGAATGAAAGAGGTGAGATCAGGACAGTCAATGAATTCACAGGTCACAGGAAAAAAACTACTTTTAATGGATGGGCCCCACTCTTCTCAATGAGTATACCATAGACCAGTGGTTCCCAAACTTGGGTACATGAGGTGACAGAGGGGGATATGCAAATAAAATGCTGCTTTTTGCCATTCATTTAATTCTATCATTTCAGTTCATTCTAAAATCATTTGCAGTCATAACTGACTGCATGCACACAAGCAGCGTGCATATTATAAGTTGCTTGCTGAGTATGCTACCTTAGCAAATCGTGCTTTACTGCCATTTACACGTACTAGCAAAAATATAGACACCGACTACGCATAGAGATCGTTTTAAGACTCAAACTCTCTTCGTTACAAAAACATACCCTTGTGTAAGTTCTTGTTTTTAATTTTTATATTATCTAAACAAGAATGCATTTTTTTTCAGTTGAATTTATACAGTAGATGTTTATATAATGTACATTTGAGTGTTGTTGTCAGTTTTGTTTGCTTTATTTTGCAATGAAATAATAGTTCCAACCAAAGCCACAGCAGAACTGCAACACACAGATCCATCAATCAGGGGGTAGTGAAGGGAGAGACTTAAAAAAGGATAAAAAGGACTGCCATTTACTGTAAAACTCGTTGGAAACACCTCTCAGAGAATATTGAATCTTTTCTAATTTCAAAAAGAACATAATATCCCTTAGCCATTGGACGCTGTCTGGTAGGGGCTTTTTTAGATTTCCAGTGGAGAAGAAGCTGTCGTCTTGCAAATAGAGATGTAAAAGCAAGGGTGTCTAATCGTTTCGATGTAAATCTATTGTAATCCTCTGGGCATCCAAA